ACTTGTTGTTGTTTGACTTCATAATGGCTGCCAATCTTACTGGAGTGAGATGGTATCTTAGGGTGGTTTTGATTTGCATTTCTCTGACTGCTAGAGATAGTGAGCATTTTTTCATGTACTTGTTGATTGATTGTATGTCCTCCTCTGAGCAATATAAATATATAGTGTGATTTCTATTCTTGATAGGCACTCTCTCGCCTAGGACAGTTTCTAAAAATTCAGATTTCTATAAACAGTAGATTATCTTTATTATTTCTCTCAAATCCTATTATCATGAGAATTAAAAAATAAAATATATAAACCTACAAGAACAAAAGGAATGAGAAAGAAGACAACACTGAGAGGAGATTCTGACAAAATTTGGAAAGCAGAAAGTGGGTAGACCAAAAAATACTGAAAACTCTGCAAGCTAGAGAAAGCAGAGACCTTGGTGTCTGCAGGACAGGGATGTTTCATCAGCAAGTTCATCTGAGTCATGAAATCCTATCAAGGGTAGGAATGTAAGGTATCCCTGAAAGTGTGGGTGAGAAGTGAGGCTGTCTGTCTCTTTTTTGCTGCTATAACAGAATACCAAAGATTGGGCAGTGAAGAGAAATTTATTTGGCTTATAGTTCTGGAGGTTGGGAAGTCCAAGATTGAGGGTGCATCTGGAGAAAGACTTCTTGCTACATCATACCATGCAGAAAGGATTGCATGGTAAGAGAACCCATGAGAGACAAGAGGGAAGGGGACTGAATTCATTCTTTTATCAGAAAACTACTATGATAATTAACCCACTTCTCTAAGATAATGACTTTAATCCATTCATAAGGGTAGAGGTCCCATGACCTGATCATTTCTTAAAAGATCTCACCTCTCAACAGTGATAAAGTTTCTAACATATAAATTTTGGGGGATATATTAAAACCACAGAAGGGAGTTCAAACAAACATTTTAAAGTCAATATAAGAAATGATTTTAGTTTTAACAGCCCTATCCCTACTTCACACAATGAGGACATGACCCCTGTTCAATTCATCAAAAGATGGCTGGTTTATTCTCTGGAAAAAATGAACCCCTGGAGTTCCATTCGAAGTGGGAGTGGGGGTGAAACATCACACAGAAATATGAGAATTATGTGAACATCTGCTCTTCGATGCCAGTGCTGTTGTGAGCTCAGTAAGTGAGAAGTAAAACAAGGAAGATGTTTTTTAACTGTGTCTGTTCTTCTAAGCCTAGCACAAATTATGGTTCTTTGATCACATTCATTTAACTCTTTTCTGGAAAGAGCTATGGAAATGGTAGACTAATAAATCTAATAATCTAATAAATGGTAGATATCTAATAAATCTCTTTACTGAAAGCAATCTTCAGTTCCCTACTATTCAAGTCATTTGTTATGGCAAGTTATGTTCTGCATACTAGCATGGTATGATAAACCCAAACTCCTACTGTGGGGTGCCACTCCAAACACACACTCACCTTTAAGTCCTGATGCACCACAGGGATCTGAAAGATCACTGTAGTCTGGTGCATTAGTCTTTTCCCTCACTCAGATAACATGGCTAACAAGGTGTGTCTATAGGAATAGGAGATACCCAGAGGGTGAGCTACACTCACTTGTAATCCTACCTCTTGCCTCATTTGAATGGCTTCTCCCCAATAACAGGCTCTCTCTCTCTTTCCATGGACCCTTAAGGTTGGAGAAGCTGTCACAGGACCCAAAGGAAAAGGTATTTTTCTGTCTCTGTGTGATTATTTTGCAGCCCAGTTCACCTGGAGTGACCCTGAGTGTTTAGTCCTAGAATGCGACACCCTACCAGTTCTGGAACAAAAGTTAAAACACTATAATTGGGTAACGAAGGAAATATCTACATTTCATTAATTCCAGTAAAAGAATTTTCCTCCTATTACTACCTCCACAATTACTGAAGAAAAAATAATTTATATTGCATTTAGTCATATACCTATAAAAGAAAATGTGTCAGAAAAATTACGTACATGAAGCTGTTCCAGAGTACAAAGACCTGCTCTTGTAGTACTTGGATAGCTTGGACTTTTAAATGTTGTAGTAAGTTGTTCTTTTCTTTTTTTTTTAAATAACTTTTAATGCTATACATTATTCAAAGACTTAACAACTGTCTGGATGGGTAAAAAAAATTAGGGAACACCAGACCCCATACATAAAGTGTATCTTCATTATAAATCTGAAGAAGTTACAATATCCTTACAGCATTAATATTGAATATTACTCCATTTATACTCTGAACCATTTGTAAAAGAGAACTCTCTTGATAAATTATACCAAACTTAACTAAGTTATTACTTATTCACTGAGTGCATTTGCCACTGGAGTCACAAGTGCCACTGTTCCCAATGACAACACCATCCTCCACATCCAATTTAATTGTGCCACTCACTCCTAGCTGCCAGGTCTGAGAGCACCATAACAAGGCTACTAACCTTCTCCCTCAGTTATATCTGAACGGTCCAACTTGGCTTCCTTATGTTGTCCTTCTGCAACCTTCACGGCAACAGCGCGGCAAATGGCCCCAAACTTTCTATCCAGAGAACGAACTCCTGCTTCCCTGGTGTACCTGTGAACAAAGAAAAATACTTCATTTTGCCTAAATACCACCTTAAAAACAGACAGAAATACAACTAGCCTTTCTATTAAAGGAACAGTATACATTTAAAAGTTTTTTTACTCTGCCTTGACTAATGAACTTACTCACACCAAAAATGTCTCATGTAAGTATTGTTACTTCTTAAATATTCAGATGTGTTTTCAGCCACAAATATTTCCTTTATATAGATTATCCTGAATTTTTACCCAATACATAAAAACAAATCCTTGGTCCTTCAATTTATTTATTATTTATTTAATATACATATTATAGATGGAGGTGGACACAATAACTTTATTTTTTAAAGTTTTTAATTCTAATTTGTTATATATGACAGCAGAATGCATTACAATTCATATTACACATATAGAGCACAATTTTTCATATCTCTAGCTGTATATAAAGTATATTCACACCATTTGTGTCTTCATACTTATACTTAGGATAATGATGTCTGACTCATTCCACGGTCTTTCCTATCCCTATGATCCTTCCCTTACCTTTGCCCTATCTAAAGTTCCTCCATTCTTCCCATGCTCTCTAAACCCCATCACCATTATGAGTCAGCATCCTCATATCAAAGGAAACATTTGGCATTTGGTTTTTTGGGATTGGCTAACTTCACTTAGCATTATTCTCCAACTCCATCCATTTACCTGCAAATGCCATGATTTTATTCTCTTTTAATGCTGAGTAATATTCCATTGTGTATACATACCAGTTTCTCTATTTATTCATCTACTAAAGGTCATCTGGGCTGGTTCCATGATTTAGTTATTTGTGAATTGTGCTGCTATAAACATTGATGTGTCTGTGTCCCTGTAGTATGCTGTTTTTTTTTAATAGTTGTAGATGGAGAGAATGCCTTTATTTTATTTGTTAATTTTTATGAGGTGCTGAGGATCAAACCCAGTGCCTCACACATGTTAGGTTAGCACTTAACCACTGCGTCACAACCCCAGTCCTGGTCCTTCAATTTATATTGACAAAGTAAATTTGTCAGCATATAAAATACCATTTACTTTGTGATATGTTTAAGAGTTTTCTAAAGCAAAATTTGTCAATTTAAGAAAATTCTAAATTAATTTTACTTGAAATACTACAAAAAGAATCAGAAATCGAGCCAACTGCAGTGGTGCATGCCTGTAATCCCAGTGATTTGAGGGCTGAGGCAAGAGGATTGGGCGTTCAAAGCTGACCTCAGCAATTTAGGGAGGCCCTTAACAACTTAGCAAGACTCTGTCTCAAAATAAAAATATAAAAAGTGTTGAGAAAATAAAATAAAATTATTTATTTTATTGGTAGGGATGTTGCTCAGTGGTTAAGTGCCCCCCTGGTATCAAAAAAAAAAAAAAAAAAGACAAAAATCAGAAACTGTACTGAATGTAGGACAGAAGTCAACTTTTTACTAGGAACTTTGCTAATCACCTAGGGACTCTGTGTGTTTTTATTGTGATTTTGTAAAATACTCTACATGTAGTTAAGCAGAGCTACCTAAAAAACTTACATATTACAGCAAATTCCACAACCCATTCCATAAACCATTTTTGGTATAATCAACTTTGGTGGGATAGGAATGGACAATATCAGGCAGAAAATTTGTTTTATCTGAAAAACTGGATTTGATTTAGGTAGTTAGACATTCTAGGGAAGGAGGTTTTAAAAGTTGTGAGAAAAGACAGATTAAAGCAGTTGGTAAAATAAAGTAAAACTCATTTCAGTCAAAAAGATAAAAGGACATAAAAATAGAGTTGACATTCTATAACTGAATATAATTTCCTTTTTTTACCCTGACACTGGGATTGAACTCAGGGTCTCACACATGCTAGGTAATTGTTCTACCATTGTACCACATCCCAGCCCCAGAATATAATTTAAATAAGGAAGAAACAGGACGGTATCCTGAAATAAATCAACATATAAAGAAAAACCAAAACCCCAAAGTAGCTTCCTAGACAACTACATGATCAGCTTAGGTTTAATGGGACAAAAGATGAAAGCAGAGGGTCTGAATAAGCTTACAAAGGAATGGAATGAAAATACAAAAATGAGACCGTGAGGTTCAGAAGGAATTGGAGGTAGTCAAAAATAATCAGGATATGCAACAAGAAAAATACCTCTTTATGTGTTTAGAACAATAATGGGCTAGAAACCAATTCACAGATTATATCATTAACAACTGACCAAAAAAGTAGACATACAAACTCCTATTTGATATCTTTAAATTGTAAAAGGAGGAATAACCAGGGTCAAATAAGAAAATAAGAATTGGCTGTTTGGGGTGGAGGATGTTGCTCAGTGGCAGAGTACTTGCCCAGCATGTGTGAGATCCTGGGTTTGATCCCTAGCAAGCCCCCACTCCCCCAAAAAAGAATTGGTTGATGTTTCTCATGATGACTTGAACACAGGATGTTATATATGCTGATCTTCAGAAGACATAAAAAACTAACAATGAAATATACATAACTACAAATTTCAATGTTTTGGCTTTAAGAAACTAAACTCTATAAACACAGAATGGGGTATGCCAAGCTTAGCAAAAATTAACGGAAAAGGCAAAATAATATCTCAAAAGAGCTAAGAATCTAGAGAATTATATTCAGAATAAGAAAAATATGATCTTCTTCCACTATGAACTGTTCATGCTATATTTAAATAATGCGTTATACTCTGAGTATTTCATTATAAAAGGTATACTAATACATACTGGACTCATTCAGAAGACTAATCAGAAAGGTAAAAAGCCTTGGAACCAGGTCAAGAGGAATGGTAAAGATAACAGGAATATTTAGCTTGAAGAAGAGACTATTTATGGGGTATATATATCTGATATCTGATAGTATTTCTTTTTATTTTGGAAGGAATGCAAAAAGGAGGAATTATACTTAAATTCTAGATGCTCCTATAAAGCAGAAATAGAAAATTATAGGGAATGAATATAAAAAATATCTTTATGGCAACGTTCTCACCATCCTGGGACTGGAAGTATTCAAACAGGCTGGTTACACTGGGAGGAAGTAAGACTGGAATGATTATGACACACTCCAAAAATGAGAAACTTGAACACAGATACTCTATGTTGTAAGTCTAGTAGCTTACTACATATCTGAAACTTGCCTGGAGTAGCATATACTTGTAAGGTTTTAAATATAAACATAGATAGATAAAAACTAATAAAACTGCTCAGAGAGATTTCCTAATGTCCATAGCTTTTATGATTTGATGTTTTACAGTAATAATAATGATGAAATAAATAATAAATGAAACAGTTCTCCAAGAGACAATGGGAAATACAAATAATGTTTATTCTTCAGAATCATCATTATTCAGATTTAGATAAGATATATCTCTATCACTTGGATTTTATATAGAAAAAAGCTATCAAAAGGGTTAAGTGTCTTGTTGAAAGTCACAGAAGATATCATAGGTATTATCTGGTACAATAATATGTCTGGAAGATTTTGGCAAATCACCTAATTTATTTCTCCTGGAATTATTTACACAGTATAGCACAAAGGAAGTTTAGAAAAACAATGCCCAGGGAGGGTGATGAGGGGAATAATAGAAGTACATTGGATTAGACAAAAGGGAATGAAGGGAAGGGAGTGGGGAGGGGAATTACAAAGAGAGTAGAATTAACTGGACATAATTTTCCTATCCTTGTATTTGAATACATGACCAGGGTAACCCTGTATCATGTGCAACCACAAAAATAGGATAATAATTAGAATGAGTTATACTCCACATATATATAATATGCCAAAATACATTATACTGGCATGCATATCTAAAAAGAATAAATAAAATTAAATTAAAAAAAGAAAAAGAACACTCAGGTTAGATTTAGTCTTACTATTTTATATTTAAATTTAAACAGACCCATAAGAAAGTTGGCATAAATAAAAATAAAGTTTGATAAGCCAAACTTTTAAGATATAGAGAGATGTTTTATATCTTTTGAAAAACAGCATTTACTAGAAAAGGGTGCATGAGTGTTTGGCAGCCTATACAACTTGCTGGATGATGCAATGGATCTGTAACACTGAGCCAGGAAAACTGTAAGAGGCTATGGTAGATAAAAATTTTCAACAGGGTATGTTTTCCACTCAAACACACAGTCTATAAATACACAGTCTACAATACTCAAATAATTTATGCTGTGCTTGCCACAGGCTTATGCACTTGTTAGCAAACTTGGGGAAGCACCTTCTTTATTGTTTCAGTGTTAATTCTGAAGATCAAAACTCTGAGATTTTTAAAAACCTCTCAAAGAGAAGAAAAGGAAATCAGAATAACCTAAAACAGATGTCTGAAAATTGCAACTCACCTCTTAAGCAAATTAAGCAACTTTCAAGATTCAAGGCATAACAAGTTCTCTTTATTTTCATGTGTTTGGTTCTTGATCTATCAAATTAATCCCTTAAATTTCTACTGTGGCAAAGTAGAAATTCTAGTTCAATGAAGGTACTTATCAATGAAGATATTCTAAGTTGAATCTCTATGAAATTCTAGTTCATACAGAGTCTTATTTAAATCAATAGCTATGGCAGTGTTTGCTAGAAATTTGATGGAGAAAGAGAAATGTATACTATGGGAAGATACTAAAAAAATCTGCTCAAACATTAATGAAGCCTTAGGATGGGTGACTAACCTGGTGATGATGGCAAGAGTAGTAACCTGAGGGATCTGAATCTGTTGAGGAGTCAGCCCATGTTGTTCCAGTTGCTTTGGGATTAAGTGCCTGTGGGCAATCTCTATCTTTTCCTCCTGTGTATACCCTGGAAAAGAAGGAACCCTCTTCTGTAATTATTCACATAGCTCCCATAATGCTACGCTTTTTTAGTGAATAAAATGCTAATACCACAGATCTTGTACTTGGAATGAATTTAAGTATTACTTTAATTAATACTATAATCAGAACAAGAAAATTTCTCAAACAAATCTCAAAACTTAGAGACAGTTATCTCCTCATTTTCAAATGCTCTGAAATTTTACATAGGAAAATAATGCATCCTTTTCCTTTAGCATAATTTGATACATTCTTGAAAAATTTACACATTCACAATTTCAACTAGATAAACAGTGGGTTCCAAGGGAATGACTCCAAAGGAGTTTTTTACTAGAACTCTAACTATAAATTTGAGCAACAAAACAAAAACTAACATGTTCCTATAAAAGTTTTTTACCCCAACAACATGCTGGAAAAATATGTAAATATAAAATAAGAGACTTTATGTTCTTAGTTAAAAGCTTCATTTGTTTTAATTTCTGTCAGAAAAAAATTCCACCCAAACTAATGCATCCTTTCTGCTTAACAAAACAAAATTTTAAATAAGACCTGAGAAAGCAACTTTTGAATACAAAGAGGAGTTAAAACGACCAAAAAAGCTAAAAAACAGGATGACCAAATCTGCCAGAGGAAGAAGGTGGCATCACCTGCTCCCCCACAGCAGATGCCCTGATTGTTCTACTCTACATCAATGCACTTACAAATTTCCTGTCTTAATTTGAGGTTTCCAGGCAATTGAGTTGCAGTATTTATTTATTTTAGACTTATAAATACACACAACCAACTTTTATTCCATCATATTTTAAAACTACTTATAGGAATCAACAGGGCTTTCAGATAATTAGGAAATCTTATCACTCACCAAATAGTAAAAATATATTTCAGATTACTATGAAAAATACATGAAGATTACATTTAGATTCTACTCTATTTTCATTTTACAGTACTCTCTGATTTTTTATATCCTCCTGGGCAAAATAATTCTAAGCAATTAAAATTAGGTAAAAAGGCTAGAATTTGCCAGGTGCAGTGACACACACCTATAATCCCCGCAGCACTGGAGGCTGAGGCAGGAGATTTCAAGTTCAAAGCCAGCCTCTTTGAACTCAAGATCTCCTGCCTCAGCAACTGGGAGGTGATAAGCAACTCAGTGAGATCCTGTCTCTAAATAAAATTAAATAAAATACAAAACAGGGCTTGCAACGTTCAGTGGTCTAGTGCCCCTGAGTTCAATCCTTAGTAACCAACCCCCGCAAAAAAAGCTAGAATTTAAGAATTAGAAACTACAGAATTTTATCTTTGCACACTCCAGTGAAGAAGACATGGTTTATATGCTGGGTGTGGTGGTGCAAGTCTATAATCCCAGAAACCTAAGAGGCTAAGGCAGGAGGATCACAAGTTCAAGTTCCAGGCCAACCTGGGCATTTTAGCAAGACCCAGTTTCAAAATAAAATGTCAAAAGAGGGGCTGGGGATGTGTCCATGGTGAAAAGCCACTGGATTTATTTACAAATAAATAAATAGTAACTACCTGACAGATTCTACTAAAGAGAAAGGTAAAAGCACCATGAATTTTAAGATACAAACAAGGTTAAATCTGAACATGTCAAAATTTATTCTTGATATCTTACAGAACATACACGTATTCTTACCTGTTATGGTATAAACAAACAAAAAGTTTTACTGTCCTACATTTTTAAAAAATGTTTATTTTTTTTAGTTGTTGATGAGCCTTTATTTATTTACATGTGATGCCAAGAATGGAACCCAGTGCTTCACACATGCCAGGCAAATGCTTTACCACTAAGCCACAATCTAGCCCCCCAGATTTTAACTCTATATAAAAAGCTGGTTTATATACCTCATTCAGAACCTTTGAAGATTATACACTGGCACATTAATTTCAATACTCAAAATTCCACAGCATGACTAATTTTAAAGGGTATGCTCAGAAAAGCAAGAAATGTCAAAAATAATGATTTTATTTGTGAATTAAGTACCTGGAACCTGAATGATCTCCATTCTATCCAATAAAGCAGGTGGTATAGTAGCAGTGGTGTTGGCAGTAGCTATAAAAAGAACTTGGGAAAGGTCAAAGGCCACATTTAGATAATGATCTGTGAAGTTATGGTTTTGTTCAGGATCCAATACCTAGGAGAGAACAATAAACATTTAGACAAATTCAGAAGGTCCAATAGAAAGTTGTGCAAACTGAAACACATATGATCTATCTGCAAGGTTGACATTTCTGCTCAATATAGTTAGTCTGGTAAACAGAGGTATAATACTAAAACTTGAGCATCAGTCTTTGCATTTCCCATACTTTTAATACTTTTTAAATAATGTAACATGTTCAGTGTCATGCACAAAGAAGCAAAAATTACACTCTGTTCTTAAATCTATTTATTAATAACTCATCATGTGGCCATTACAAGTAGTCAGTCAATCCTGAAGAACCAGTTTGGCAGCATACACTATTCAAACTGCTATAGGAATACAAAGTAAATGTGCAGAGTATTTTGAAATTCTTAGTTAACAGATAAAATAATTGTAAGTATATCTCTCTGCAAACATTATCAGAAAGTCTGGTATCAATTCTTTAACTGAAAGGGGAATTCCAAATAAGATTAAACTAATGAAAATTACCATGTTGCTATATTCTAATTTAGCACAGCAAAAAATTAACTTAAAAATGCCTTAAAGCACAATCTTTTTGTTTATAGTAAAATCAACAAATCTTTACAAATTTTAAATTAACAATTAGATTCTTAAGACAATCAACTGTATATTAAAGAGGCTGTATCTTCTTTAGGTTACTGCTAACATGCTTCAAGTTATAGACACAGACTTTTACCAGGCCTACATAAGAACCTTAAATAATAAGTACCTTCCACATGTTCTAAATCTTAAACACACTACCACTTTCCCTTATGCCAGAATTACTCTAAATAAGTTTAATATACATACTCAAAAGGGAAATGATCCAATTTAAATATTTACTATAATTTTACTATAAAAGCAGCCTTTCCCTGATTCCCTTTTAAAAAATATAGTTACCCTTAATTCTAAGCTCTTTGCTTATAATCTTAAATTCTATTAAACATTCATTATTAAAAAGTTTTTCTTATTACTGGAAATTCATGTTTATCTACATAACATATCCCAGAAGACTAATTTTACAAAACTAAATCATGTTTGATGTTAAAGAAAGAGGAATTTCCAAGACATCAAATAAAACTCTTATGTTCAGTGAAGAATTAAAAGTAATTCTTACTATCTGTCAGTTCAGGTGAAGTAATTTTTTTCCCTTAAATTCTGAAGCACAAAGAAGCAAAAATTACACTCTGTTCTTAAATATATTTAAATGCATTATAGTTATATTTAAGTTATGAGGAGATAAAATTAGTGATGTCCAATTTGTCTACCTTCATTTTTTTTTTGTTCAGGTAAACACAAGAAATGCAGACTTAAAACAGTATCAGAAATACTGATCGATATTCTACCACTAAAGAAGAATTTCTAGCAAACATTATTCATATGAAGACCCAAGGCAATTTGATGAGCCCATCAAGGGACAAAAATTTATCTAAGAACATTGAAGCCATCAGTCAGGTGCAGTGGTGCACACCTGTAATCCCAGATTCAGGAGGCTGAAGCAGGAGGATCGCAAGGGCAAGGTCAGCCTCAGCAACTTAGCAAGACCTTTTCTCCAAACACACACACACACACACACACACACACAAAAAAAAAAAAAAAAAAAAAAAATGGGGGATGGGAATTTAGCTCATTGATACACCACCTCTGAGTTCAATTTCCAAGACTGGAAAGACAAACAAACAAACAAACAAAAAACCTCAAAGTCAATAAATCTCTGCTTCTTACTCCACATTCAGAACCAGTGTTTCCATTGCCCAGTTCACCCACATACATGGTCTGGTTTCCAAACTGATCAGATCTATTTTTTCTCTCTTCTCCCCAATTAAAAGGCCTTCTCTTTCAATCCTAGAGTTATAATTCTCATCTAATAAAGTATGTCTGGAATGGAAGGATCTTTGATATGACACCATATTCCTAGAAACATGGAGTCCAGCTGGGGGTGGGGGTGAGCTATGAGAGGGGGTCTACCAAGAACTGTCCTTCAATGATAATTTTACTAAGGGAAGAACAACTGATGTTTGTAGGCAATCCAGGAATATCCTCTGCTTATTACAGATGACTGTAATAACTTTAGATATGGTAATATGGTTATGTTTTGTAACAATTTAGAGTTAGAAACTGAAATATTTGTAACACATGATGTCTGAAACTGGCTTCAATATCTTCAAAATTTAGAATGCACAGAAAATATGTAATGTATATAAATGAAGCACAACAAAATGAACACCTGTGAATCCACTCTTAATTGAGATCACATTTGTATTTATCTGTTTAGAACAGTAGAAAATGACCCACCCTAAGGGCAAGTAGAAACTATTCGTATGAATATTCATCCACATTAATCTAAAAATACCAGAAAGAAATTATCTTTTAAAATAATATATAAATAAAAGCTATGGCCTCCCTTGTTATACACATCATATATGTGAAATAAGTAAGAAAAGGATAGAAATTTTGTTACATGAAAGGCTGATTGTGGTGCCCATGCACATCAGCTTTCACTGTAACTCACAGACTGGTCCATATGTGCCTGGTCAAGTGTTCTTATACATGAAAATGGAAAAATGGAGTGGTTTAAAAATATTACTGCAAAAATAACATTAAAGATAATATATGTAAACATATGAACAATAAGAGAAAAATGATAAAAGAGTTGACATTTTAATTTCCAAAATAAGTGTTGATAACCACATTAGTGTGTATGGAGAGCTATATAGTACACCTCCTTTGTTATGGATTGAATAGTGCACCCTAACCCCCAATGTAACTATCTGAGAAACTTTAAGGAGATAATTAAGGTGTAATGAGTTTAAGAGTGAAGCCCTAATTCAATGCAACTGCCATCCTTATAAGACAAGAGGCTGGGGATATAGCTCAGTTGGCAGAGTGCTCGCCTCACATGCACAAGGCCCTGGGTTCAATCCCCAGAACCACCCCCCAAAACAAAGAAAATGACTTGTCCCCTGATGAAAGAAAAAAAATGTAAAAAAAAATGTATGCCATGAACCTTTGAAATAAATGGATGAACTCCTTATCTGCTAAAGACCCACCAGTACATTTACGTGTGACACAAAAGCCCGTGAGCTACATAGGAAAAAATCTACAGATGGACACACCCTTCAGGAGCTGGTGGCAAGAAATAAATGGGTCAGCTCCATAACAGTGGAGTGGCCTGGATGATTTGATACATTGCAGCCAAATTTTTGCCAGCTCTTAATCCAATCCTTAACTTCACTTCCTACTACTCGTACTCTACCATGAATCCTTTATTCCTGAATGTGTCCTATCTGGTACCTTTCTGAGATAGACTGCAAATTCTGATAATATGTAGAGTTAGGAATGCTGTGTAACATAGTAAAGTAGATTTAAACTCTGTCATTAAGACTTTTGTCATTTAAGTTGTATGTCTTCCTAATTTCAAATGTCTGTATAAAATAAAAACAATTCATTTTATGGAAAGATGAAATGGAGCTGACCATTGATAGGGGTTCCCATATTTCTTTTTCACAAATAATTCATTTCCTGACTATATTATATAATAAATTGAATACTGAATAGTGTTAACCTTTTTTTCCAAATGACAGAAAAAATAAGTTAGTTGATTATCTTATCAATTTTAGGTTTTTCTTAAAATTTTCTTGTACTGCTTATCAATAAAAATTGGAAGAGTGGTTTACTGATATTAATGCAAATCCTGGACATATTTAACTGGCATAAGTTTTACATGGATACATGTGCCTGATCTTTTATTTTCTGGGCTCATAGTCACATTCAATCACTGTTTCCCCCTAATCTGATAAGGTAGAAAGAAAAGGAAGGAAATAAAAAGAATAATTTTTATATTTTTCTTGTAATATCATTATTTAAGATATTTTTACTAGAATTTTTAGAATTCATATGTCAATATAGAAGCTCCTTGACTTACAATTTATTTCCTGATAGGTCTATCATAAGTTGCAAATATTTTAAGTGGAAAATGCATTTCATATACCTAACCCACCAAACATCATAACTTAGCAACACAGTACACTGTAGAGTATCAGTCGTTTACTCTTAGGATCAGGTAGTTAACTGGGAGCGAGTCTACTGCTGCTCCTCAGCATCTCCAGAGAGTATCATACCATATATTGCTAACTTGAGAAAATAACAAAATTCAAAGTATGGTTTCTACTGAATCTTATCACTTTTGTATCATAATAAATTTGAAAAATTATAAGTCAAGCCACTATAAGTTGAAGACCATCTATATAAATTAAGTGAAATGAAAATTTAAGATAATATGTTGGGCTTCAAGTTTTTCATCTATAAAAAGATGAGTTGGATTAGAAGACTCCCAAGTCCCTCTTCAATGACATTCTTTGACTATAGCTGAATAGCTTAAACTGGAAGATCATACAGGGGTTTTATTTAATTAGTAAATACACTAATTGATCTAATTACTAACTGCATCTAATTAAAATTAGAAGTTTTTACTTTAGTTTTAAAGAAAAAAGTTTACTATATCTGACCATTGACTTCTCCATTTGGGGGAAATATATATTATTTAGAACTGTAAGTATCACCATCTCTACAGAAAATTGGTAAAATATTCGTGCATTTTACTTGCCCACTCACACAAAAATATTTCATAAATGCAGTTTTATTTAATAACTAAATGTGAACATATATCAATTATAAACATGATAAAATCTGGTAAGAAAATAATTCTGTAATTTCAAGTCTATTACTTAAAAGGAATTTCCTTACTTCTAAATGCTATTCAATAACAGACTTGTTTGAACTCTACTGTTTACCATTATTTGTTTATTAAATAGTTACACCTATTTTTATCTATTAAATTTTCAAAAGATGATATCTGTATTTTGAATATCCTTTTGGACAACACTTAGCTGGAAATACATTCTATTTTACATAAACAACAATTCCATGGAAGCTCAAGGAAATGGACATGTCTTTATCAATAAACATGAAGACAATAAGAATCTATAGGCAGGGTTGGGGCTGTGGCTCAGTGGTAGCGCGCTTGCCTGGCATGTGTGAGGTGCTGGGTTCGATTCTCAGCACCACATATAAATAAATAAAATAAAGGTCTATCAACAACTAAAAAAATATTTTTAAAAAAAGAATCTATAGGCAAAACAAGTCAATTCTTTAATTTATTCAAAGTAACTACTCTAGGTTAATAATGTAAAGCAATTTTAAAAACATTTTAAAATTTTTTAAATATTTAAAAATAATATCTAGATGTTATTTTTGTTGTTACCAGGGGTTGAACTCAGGGGTGCTTAACCACTGAACTACATCCCCAGCCCTTTTTATTTTTTATTTTTGAGACAGAGTCTCACTAAGCTGCTGGGACTGGCTTTGAACTTGTGATTCTCCTACCTCAGCTTCCAGAGCCAGTAGGATTATAGGTACCACCACGCCCAGCCTAGATGTCTTTATTGTAAAAAGTTTTCTATGTGGAAAGCTTAAATCTACCCTCTTGGATCTTCCAAACTCTTAGTAGTGTTCTACTTTATTTTTTTTTTTTTTTTTTTTTAAAGAGAGAGTGAGAGGGGAGAGAGAGAGAGAGAATTTTTAATCTTTATTTTTTAGTTCTCGGCGGACACAACATCTTTGTATGTGGTGCTGAGGATCCAACCGGGCCGCACGCATGCCAGGCGAGCGCGCTACCGCTTGAGCCACATCCCCAGCCCCAGTGTTCTACTTTAAATCAACTGCCAAAACAGTGAGAATCAAGATGGATATTAGACAAAAAATCGTTTATCAATGATAAAACCTACAAACATTATACTTGGTGACAATTTAAAATATACTGCATAACAACCAAACAGATTGGGAACTTAATCATTTCCAATTACTTACAAGACTCTCTTTGAGGGACTACTTACAAAACTCTTTGAGGGACGTCTTTAGACTTCCAAATGCAATTTGTTGAGAAACTTCAGTATCAGTGATTTAGTGTTAAATTTGTTTTGAAAAGATAGTTATAAATGTTTAATGAGAGGATCTGTCAGATTATCTGGCAAATGAACCAATGTCAAACTAAAAGCCCAAAGGTATTACCTAAGAAAGCACTAAAATCTGAAATAATGTTCATTATTTTATTGTTCATAATACTGCAGAGTAAACCAGTTACTGAACCAGAAGATAATTATTGTATGATTAAAAATGAACAAAACCAAACAAAATCAGCCCTCATGTCCAAATTAGGAGCTTTAAAGTAGGATAATTGTATTTTTTATTGTCCAGACAGAACCCACTTCTAAGACTAAAATGGAGTGCAATTAATAATTAGGCATTATCCAAGACTGTTCCAGGCAAACTAAAATGTATGATCTCCTTGCTTTTAATACACATGCCTGAGGCCATCCTGTTCTAAGATTAGAAAAGCAGAGAAGAAACAGGAAGCCTAAGGGAACTAAAAGCAAGGAAATGAACAGTAAAAAGTAAAAACTTTCAAAGTAAGTTTTCTCAAGTATACAAAATAATGTGAATTAATAACATTTTACTTAAACAAGGGTAAAAGTGGTAGGAGTAAAGGCACTAAGATAAAGAAGACTGGCTGAAGTGATTTAACAAGCAATCAGGTCTCATACCCCTTCCCCCACCCAACAGGAGGTTTATTTTCTTAAGGACATAAAACAGTGGCTCTCTGCACAGGGGACAAGGGGCACAACTGAGAAGAGCAGGCACTTTTGTGAGAACAAGGCCTCAGGCAAAGGAGCTCAAGCACAAGTGGAACACTAGGATACTACCTCACCCCCAATCTTTCTCCCCCAACTAGGTTTCCAGAGGGCTAGCCAATTTAAACAGCTAAGAAGAAAGACATAAAGTTACTGACAAGAGGTTCCTCAACCAAACAGCCCAAAGAGAAAAGCAATTGTGAAATTCAAAGTCAATAAGCCCTATTCCTGTATTCATAGTTTCCAGTCAGATTTTTTATTGCTCACTTTTAAATATGAATACATAAACAACTAAAGAATTTCCAGAGGGTTAACAAAAGACTCTAACATAAAAGATACAAAACATAAACAGCTTAAAGTAAAGGGAAATTTAAAAAGCAAAAAAATCTATCAGTGTCTTTCTCACAGAGGTTAAAGGATACGTTACAACTACTGAATGGAGAGCAGGGTACTATAAAGTAATATGCAGAGAAGTAAAAACAGAAGTTTCTGAAAAACACATAGAGGGTTTTTAAAGATGAAGCTGAGGAAGTCTGCACAGAAAGTAGAGCAAAAAATAAAAGAGAAAAGATAACACAATTAAAGATCTAATATCTAAGTAATAGGAATTCCAAAACAATGTGAGGGGAAAAAACGTCATCAACTGGAATTTGAGAAGATTTTCCAGAAATAAAGATTAAGAATTGAAGAACTCTTTAAAACATCAACAAAAATGGATAAAAAGAGACTCATATCAAGGCATCCTAGATTACTGCAAACTTTCAGCACACAGACAAAAGGAAGGTCCTAAAAGTTTTCAAAGAGTAAAAAAAGGATCAGAACATGATTCAGTTTTATCAACAGCAATACTAGTAGCCAGAAAACAATGAAAGCAAAGTAAAATTCTGCAGAGAAATTGTTTCCAACTCAAATTCTAAACTCAAACTACCAATTAAATATGAGAGACACAAAAATATTTTGGAATGAAAAAATCTACAAATATTTACCCACGTAAACTTTATAGGAAGTCATCAACATTAAACAAAACAAAACAAAACAAAACAAAAAAAAAGGGAATAAACCAGGAAAGAGACAAGGAATATAGAAGACAGGAAATCAAACATGGCGGGAAGTGGAGAAAGATCCTACGAAGATAGCACCAGATGAAGGAAACAACCCGTTCAGATTGGAAGCTTTACGAAGATAAAATTGATAGAGAACCTAAAATGTTTGAATGTCCTAAAAGACATTCAAACATTTGCCTTTTCCTAGAAAAAGTAAACAGAAGAAACAATTCAAGTAGATCTTCAAAAACATGTACAGAAAAACAAAAAAAGGAATAGGAAAGGAAAAATGATCAATTGTGAAAAGTATTTACATGATAATATAAATGTAAATACTTAATAGTAACAATAAAAAAGATAAACTCTATAATGAAAGATTTGGAGTATAAAATGATACATTAGGGGTAAAAGAGAAGAAAAAAGGCAAAAATCTTCAACTTCTACAGAGGGAGTCTACAAATAATGCCAAAAGTTGAAAAATCAAAACATAGCAATATATACAAACTATTTGAAAAAATGGAACTGATCCATAAAATGTTAAAGAAGTGCAGAATAGGAAATGGAGGACCCAGGAAGAAGACTCCTTTGATGCTTTTGGTCATAACCTTATAGAATTACTGATCTCTGTAGAAAATTTTGGTAAGCTAGTTAATATAAAAAAGAAAAAAGAAATGCAAAGACTTACCAGAATGAAGAGAAAGAAATATCCAAGACATTTTTATTTAGCTGTCAAATTGCTTTGAATTTTAGGCTATATCAAACCGTTCCCATAACTGATCACATACCAATGTGGATATTACGCAGATGTGATCTACTCTCATTCACGCTCTAAGTGTGATTATAAATAAGGAATTTTCTAAAACTTACCTCAAGCAAAGCTGCTGCAGGGTCACCCTGCAGACTTTTCCCCAGTTTGTCAACCTCATCTAATAGGAACACGGGATTATTAACTCCAACAGTCTTCAAGCCATTGATTATACGACCAGGCATACTGCCAACATAGGTTCGCCTAGAGAAAGAAGACAGCAAATTTACAACCATGAGATGAGGAGGAAAGAACAATATCACTTAGAAATCAAACTTGAGGGCTGTAAAGAAGTAATTCAGCTTCACCACAGCATACCAAAGAGCTCTCTCTTTTTTTTTTAATGTATTATGGTTCATCAAAAATTATTAGATTCAGTTTTTATTTTCTAAGAGCTCTCTTTTTTTGATGTATTAAGGTACATCAAAAATCATTAGATTCAATTCTTACTTTCTACTTAATTCTGGCTACAAGCTGATCATGATATTAGAAGAACTGTATCTCGTTTTTGCATTTAGTAAAAAAGGAAAAACACCACACTTAACCCACACAGTTTTGGCTGTTCGTCTGTGATTCCAAATGTCCAGTGTCCCTGGGAATTTAGTTTTAGTTCCTAAAACTCTCATGGTTTTCCAGAGCATTCTTTTGCTCCAATATAACAACCATTTTACATACTGAAAGAGCTGCCCTAGGACTGGCTAAAACATCATCTTCGTGAAGGAGACTAAAAATGGGCTCAAAGGGCCACTCAGAAGGTGGACCCCCTCCGCCATAATAAATAATGAACAACAAATTAGAAAAACTCCAAACTTTCAAAGATAATAATTACCTCTGAAAAGTAACAATCTGTTGTTAGTTGTAGTAAGAGAGTCTGAGATCAACAGTATTTATGTCAAAATTCCATTTTTTTGATTTCTGAACTATATACATCACATGTATTAGGTGGCATAACCAAATTCTGCCAGATATTTTGTTGAGCATTAAAATTTTAGAAGCTGTTTTATCATACTTGAATAAGGACAATCTACATAATTATGACAGAGTGTGGTATGAAATAAAAACAAATATATTTACTAAAGCTGGTAAAACTTTATTTGAAGCAGCAATTTATTAATTTTTAATTACACCCTTACTGTCTAAGTCAGGTGCAAAGCAAATGCTGTTTCTGAAAAGGCATAAAATGCTGACTGCCTAGAAGAAAATGATCAATGATAAATAGAACAGCAGCAGTTATCTCATGATCCACACAAAGCCGATTCACAGAGCAAGCCTCAATTCTGCCACATGACTGGTATAAAGTAGGACAGAATAAATAGAGTGACCTTTGAAATGACAAGAAAGCCTTAAAAATGTCGTGGGAATGCCTTTCATCCAGAGCAGGTGACTAAGGCACTGGAACCAGATACAATAAACGTTGTCCTGTTCATTATCTTTTATAATAAGAAATTAGCATATTCAAGATTTCAGGATGGGGCTGGGGTTGTAAGTCAGTGGTAACACACTTGCCTAGCATGTGCAATGCCCTGGATTCAAGTCCCAGCACCATTAAACAAAAACAAAAACAAACAAAAAATTCAGAACAGGAAACAGGAAAGACAAGATATGAAAATAATAAACTCTTTCAAATTATAACTCTAGAGAACTTACACATTTGCTATTACTCATTTTAAGAGTGGTAAAAAAGAGACATTTTCTTTTAAATCTCAAAGCCTCTGTGAGCCATATTTTGTTGCATTAATTACTTTTCCTTTTGATAGGTAGCCTCACCAGTCTAAACCTAAGATCATGGAGAGAAAATATATTTTAAAAACCCTTTTTAGAGAAGTGGAAATCTAGATATTAGAACTATCAACAAGCAGTTTCTCCTGAACTTCTCACTGCTTCCCAGATCCTACAGAACAAGGTTCAAACACCTTTGTCTAGAATTCAAGCGCTCTTTGCAATCTTGCTCCTACCAGGTTTTCCCAACTTGCTTCTGTTACTCTCTTGTTTCATTCACAATCAAGACTCTATTATACCCCTCAGGGTTTTCTACCTTTGTTAATATGGTGTTTTCTTGTCTGCTATGATATGGAATGGTCTGAGTATTCAAGAAGGTCCACTTGGTCTCAGGATGGTGGTATTTAGAAGGTGGTGCCTAGTAGGAAGACATTGGGAGCGGGGTATGTCCTTGAAAGGGGGTAAAATATCTCTTATGGAACTCTGAGTTAGTTCTTGTAAAAGTTGTTGTAACACTCCCTGCTTCCTGTTTGCAACATAATTCCTTGCTCCCACAAGTGTTCTTACCATTGTAATCCACCATGAGGTATAGCAAACAGGAGGAATCCTCAAAAGGGTCTTAGGATGCGGTTTGGCCTTTTTAAACTCCAAAACTGAGAGCTAAAAACTCTCTTTTCTTTGTTAGTAGCTTGCCTCAGGTATTTCATTATAGTTACAAAAATCTGACTAAAACACTCTCTTACTCTCCCTGCCTAAATCACAATTCGAAGAAAGCTTTCTGACCACCTCTCACAAAGTGACCTAATAAATACCTATAGCTTTTACTGACCCTACAATTCTTCTGATGCTTATCTACCTAATGACCTAGGTTTTACTCATGAGAATTATAACCTCTTCTAAAGAGGACATCAAGTGGACACTTGATGACAGCAATAGGGTATTATTATCGAGTAGATGCTGGATAGAGAGCTATAATGTTGTTCTCCACGAGATCCATTATGCAATCAACCCAAAGCATCTTTCTACCACCATTGGTAGATAGATTGGTAGGTAGATAAGGTGATAAGAGCATTTGAGTGCTGCCAAGTGTGGTGGCATATGCCTGTAATCAATCCCAGAGGTTTGGGAGGTTGAGGCAGGAGGATTGAGAGTTTAAAGCTAGTCTCAGCAACTTAGCAAGGCCTTGTCTTTAAATTAAAAACAAAACAAAACAAAACAAAACAAATTGTTTGAATGCTACTTTGGATAAATTACTTGACCAGAGTCTCTGTTTCCTTATCTATAAAATTGAAACAACAGTGCCAATTTCATAGGCTGTATGAGAAAACAAACATAAAACACATAATAAACATCAATGTTAATTATTAATTGTTAATTTCAATGTTAATTCTTATTTTTCCAGCTACTTAAAAGACTAATTTTGGTTTCTTGGAAAAAGTACAAAAGCAGAAATCAGTACATCTGAATCTGAGTCCCATGAAAACTTCTGCTTTATGAAAGTAACTATTACAAATGTATTTTTATAGCACCAAGTGTACTCAATGTCCTTAATGTTCCTCAGTCACAGGTGACATCTCCCAAATACGCACCACTACCATAGAGGTCAAAGCACAAAGACAGTCATTACCACTGAGTCCATAAGCTATTAAGAATGTCTATACTAGACTTCATATCGAAGTAAAGAATACCCAAGCTAAGAAATACATGACTATGCCATCTTTTATTAATATTTTGATTCTAAAAAGGTGGTAAGTTTGATTGATTATTTAATGATTTAAGCCTCTCCTGAAAGGATATTTTTTCCTAAAATCAGAAGAAATAAAAATTACTGATCTAGTGTTAACTAGCTAGATAACTAATTATTTAATGAAAAGATTTAATACTTATTTATTAAAAGAAAAACTACTTGTTTTTCAGAAACTGCTCTAGAAATGTAGTAGACAATGTCTTACCTACACTGAATTTGTTTTAACATGTGTTTCTATTAGGTTTTATCAGAAGTTATGGAAGAATGCAATTCACTGACTGAAAAGATTATATATTTTGAATAAATCCATAGAGTATGAAATCAGATGGTGCAAAATGTTGCAATACACAAAATGAAAATGTTCTCTTTCAATATCACCAAACAACTGTAATCATTTCTTACCTAATTAACATACCAAAATATCCTCCTGAGAAACTACATAAGTAGGAAATAAATGAAAGTGGTAATCTTTTACAAACTATGACTTTTAAAGGGCAAATATTAGGCGTGAACATACTTTATACAAACATCTGAAAATTTGTGCTCTATATGTGTAATAAGAATTGTAATACATTCTGCTGTCATGTATTTAAAAAATAAAATAAAATAATAAAATTGTATAATCAACAGAAAAAGGGCAAATATTAGTCTTTTCTATATTTTATTTCTCAAAATATAGCAAATAAAAAGCAACATAGCACAATAAAGTTTATACAAAGTATATCACTTCAATGACTTATTTTTAAACCTGAATATGATTACCTAAAAATTCTTACTCCAGTTGAAGTAAAAACATTCATTTAAAAATATACACATTCTGTTAGAACATTACAATGGTATCCTGTTAATATAGGCAATTTATATGTTTTTATATACCAGTTAAAATAGAATGAAAAAGGCTTAAAAATTTAAATGCATTTAAATATATTAACATAAAAGCAAAATTATTATTTTTTTCAAAATAAAAATACATAAATTCATATTTTTCTTATTATTTCCTCAGGCTTAATAGATTTATCATGACTATTCAACTAGCATATAAGATACACAAAACCAAACTTTCTAAATAGTTCAAAAATATTAATTATAAGATCAGCATTTTTTATTTTCCAAAATATAGTTTGGTTTATGCTTCAAAAAACAACTATGGAAAATTAAAATATCATCTATTTTACTGCCTTATGGTAATCAATTATCTTAGTCTGATCATACTTAAATATTTCCAAATCTAACATAATCCAAAATATATATATATGTATTCATATATACACACACACACACATATATACTCACATACACATATAAATAGATTTTTTTTTATTTTAGGAGATAGAGTGTGTGTGTGTGTGTGTGTGTGTGTGTGTGTGTGTGTGTGTAGAGAGAGAGAGAGAGAGAGAGAGAGAGAGAGAGAGAGAAAGCGGGCTCGAGCGAGAGAGCGCTCTGCCATACAGAGGTTAAACTTTTTATATATAGGCTCAGTATCCCTTATCTGAAGTGTTTCAGATTTTGAATCTTTTTGGATTTTGGAATACTTGCATATATATAACAAGATATCTAGGGAATAAGACCCAAATTCAAACATGAAATTAATTTATGTTTCACAAGTACTTTTTCATAGCCTAATGATAATTATACACTCTCTCTCTCTCTCTCTCTCTCTCTCTCTCTCTCT